GCTGTGTTCGCTGTCTAGGTTATTGGTTGCCGCATCACAATGAGGGCGGTGGACAACGCTGCTTAGCCAGCATGGATTCCGACTTACAGGCGTTCAGTTGTAATCCAACAGATGGTAGCTTCGTGGTATTGGCTAAACAAGTATCTGAACGAAGTGTTCCTCTCGTACTGACTTCGATTACTGTCGCAGCATCAACTTCATCAGTGGGGTAAGGCGGGTGAACACTCCGACACTTTGGGATTTCTGCGTCTCAATGATAGGAAGAGCCGACATGGAAGGATCACAAAGCAACGTTGCTATGGACACGTCGTCCATCACAAAGGTTGCCTCCCCCGCCGCGACCCCTGGGCCTTCTTTCCCCCAGGGGTCGGCGGCAGGGGGCGGCAGCCTTTAAATTCCGGCCAGGGGCCCACGGGGCCCCGCCATGGCCGTGTCTTTGCCGTAGGCATCTCTCCTCTCCGAAGGAGAGAGTGCTGACCGCCCCTCGCCGCCGACCCCACAGGAATACTGTGTTTTACAGTGTTTTCTGCTTCTTCCATTTTTCCGGCTTTGTGGTTCAAGATGGGTCAACATGGCCCAACATAGGTCCAAATAATGCTGGAAATGCGTGCCGCACCGGGGTGCTTCGTCTGCATCGTGGGCGGCTGCTGGGCCAACAACAACAACAACCACAACAACAACAACCACAACCACAACCACAACAACAACAACAACTTCTTCTTCTTCTTCACACGCTGAGGGGAGTCGAGCTCTCTCGCGCCATCAACCATTGGTTTCAATGGGATCCAGGGATCTAACATGGGACATTCATGGTGCATGGCCAGGATGACCAGGTGCTTTCAGGCCTCAAAAATCCTTGGCACATGGAACAAAAGTGGAAAACAACGCTCTCTCATTGGCAGCCGCACAGCTGCATCCGCTGCAGCCGCACAAGATGCCAGCAGCTGGTAGCGCAGCAAGCCGCCAGGCATCGGCGCATCAGCCGGCATTCGGCAGCTTAGTTGGGGGGGAATCCAAGACTCCGAGTTGCAGTGTCATCCAAGACACTTTGAAGGACATGACTCAACGCTCCTCTGCACGGCGGAGCTTCCGGGTCCTCAACTGCGTCCGAATCAGGAGGAGGCGGTGCAGCCACCGGTGGAGTGCTTTCCTCTGAGTCGCTAGAGTCCTGAGTTTGTTTGGCCTCAGTGATGGGCAAGAGCCAAAACAAGACCGAGCGTGACAGGCACCACGGTGGCAAGTCATCAACGACCTGCGGGGTTTCGTTATCCTGGCAGAGGAGCCAGCGGGCATCAAATCGCAAGGCCGCACGAAAGTGGCCTGAGCGACTGGAACCTAAGTGACAGATCACAGCTTGGACACGGTATGGTGACCAGTGCAGGTCCACTCCTGATCCATAGAAGTGCGGGAGTTCAACCATGGAGAACACGTCGATGGGCTGAAAATGACCTAAGCAACGTGTCAAGCTCATGAGTCTGTCAGCAGAAATGCACTTGATGCATGGTGGCTTGGTGAATGCTGCTCTCATTCCCTGTCCATAGGTCCACAATTGGCACAAATCATAGATGGTGGGTGAGGCATGATCAAGCTCATACAAGCCATCAAGGGCCAACGGCTGGTATTTTCCTCCAGTCTCTTCATTCATGACCTGGTTGGCCATGGAAACCCGGCGCTCCCAGCACATGTCAACGCTGCTACAGGCACTCCACTCAAGAAGTTCCGCAGTGAATTCGGCACAGTCTCGAGGTCCCTTTTCGTGCGTCTGTCGAAGCAGCGGTTGAAGGGCCAGTAGCTCAGAAAGCTTCACAGCCTTACCCCTCGGCTGTTGCATCAATGTCTCACAAACTGACGACGCTACCCCAAAATCTTCAAGTGCACATTCCCTCCGATGAAGGAGGGTCCACAAAAAGCATGTCATGCCTGAGTTCAGATAGCACCATGTGCTCTCATTGATGAACTTCGTGTTCATCAGGGCCTGAATCAGGTGGTGACGAGAAAAAGCTTCCGGATCCATCACCTGGAGCTCCTGGCCATGGTGGCTTCTTGCAATTCCTGCACCAGACGGCTCCGTTGTAGTCCTTGCGGCTTCAAGCGACCAGCCACCAGGAGCCATACACTGTGATGGCACAGTGAACGAAGGAGGACCATCAACTGGTCGTTCCGCATTGGCACCTGCAAGCGCCAAGGGAAGGTTTCGCCTTTGGAGTTCTGGCTGGCCATCGAGTTGAATCTGATCACATTCTCGGTCTGGTCCATGGCACTGCGCAGAGCCTTGAGTTTGTGTTCCACTTCTTGGCGGCTCAGTGGCTGAGGGTCTGTCGAAGGAATGAGCTTCTCCTGGGTGCGATCCCACATCAAATAGGGCATCGTGCCTGTTGGAAGGATCAAATTTGAATCCTGACTTGCTTGGAGGAAGGTCTCTTCCGTAAGCTTGCTGCAGAAACTCGCGAACCGTTGCATCATCTGGTCCATGACTGTCATCATCAGACAAGCTCGAAGGGGTCGTTGTGGCTCGGTCTCCTCCTTCCAACCCTTTCCGGCCTGCAGGAGATGGTGAACAATGCCTTGAGATCCGCGGTTGAGGAACAACATGAAGCTGTCCTGTGAGTGGAGGGACTGGATCGAGTCCTCGTGCCGGATCATAATTCTGGCCATGAGATTGCAAATCTGATTCAGATTGCGGTCCTTGGAGTGATGCTGGGATGTCATTTCCTCCTTCATGCCTCCTCGATGCTTCTGGCGCTTCGGTCGATGTGGAGCTTCTTCTTGATCGGGAGGTACGAGCATATTTAAGAATGCTGCCTGGAGCTGGGAGGTTCGGTCGGCTTCGGTCAGCCTGACGGTTTCCTCTTGGCGTGCCATGAGGTCCCAGTTGAGCCAAGACGAGACTCAGGTTCAGAATCGTCGGACACTTGTGGGAGACCAGCGCCCAGGCTGTGTTGTCAGCCACCTGTTATTTCTGAGATTCTCCACACAGCAGGCACGGAATGCCAAAGCCTTGAGCCTTCACATTGAGGCCCACATACATCAGCAGGTGCATGATCTTGCCAGTCAACTCACCATGTTGATTGGTCAGGTGGTCCAGCGATGCAAGTGGGTTGTCAAGTACACGATTGCACACGGAGCAGCAGTGGCTGAGGGCCCTGCACGTGTGTCGGTCCAACCAGATCTGGTCGAAGGTGCGTGACGAGATCCACGTAGCCAAGGATGGGGCCTGTGCCAACAAGTGCGGGTTGTTGGATAGGAGATTGATGACAGCTTGTTGAGTCGTCTCCCATGGAACCAAGATCTGAAGGTGGCCTGGATTGAGGATGTGATGCATCATTGCTATTCGTTGATGTGCCATGCATCTGTGACTCCGGCGTTGTTGTCCAGTGGCTGGATTACAACTGCACTCAGGATGAGTTTCTTCTATCATAGCTGTATAGTGCTCCGAGGCCTTGTGGAAAGGTCCATGCTGCACCAAGATGTGTCGCATCAAGTCAGCAGCTCTCTTCAGGCCTTGGCCGCACAGAGTACAGGTGGTGGTAAGCAACATTTTGTTGTTGACCCCTTCAATGAAGCTCTTCCACGTTCCCCAAAGCAACGAGTCTAGGAAGGCCTCTTCTTTGCGAAGTACACCCTGCTGGTCTGCCATGTAGTCAATGCAGTTGCATGATCCCCTGTTTATATGGCGTTGCAACTCCCGATTTCCTTGAAGTCTGTTCCACAGTGCTTGCATTGTGGGTTGCCCCGAACGGTGTCACGGATGCAACTATATCTCAGATGCTCTGTCCTCAAGTGCTCATTGAGGAGATCTTCGGTGGAAAAGATCTGAGCACAGTGCAGGCAAATGGTAGCGGAGCGGCCAGGTGTGACCATGTCCTGAGCAGCAAACAATGAGGCAAGCTGAAACAGGGTATTACATTGGTGACTATGCTTAAATGCAATCTGGCAGTATGGACATGGAGAGATACGAACAGCTGCAATCCAAGGTTGGTATATCTTATGAGTACATGACAACGAAATTTCAGGATGCTCACTAGCCATGTGTTGTTGACCGGTGCGTGCACATTTGTTAAAACGACCACAGTGTATACAGTGCTTAGCTAGCCAACTTAGCCAATGAGGATGATGAAGTAGTTCGTCAGACACTGAGGGCAGGGACACTGCTTTGAAGTGACGTTGAATTTCAACCAAAAGAGCTTCACCTTGCGTGCCAACCGAATATGCTGGGCAATATCCATGTGTGACATGACTCTTCAGCTTAGTCCAGCTCTGAAATGTTGCTTCACAATGAACACACTGCGGTGGTCCAGTGGCGGCGTCACTGGCGTACCTGAACGAGTGTGGTGTGCGGTGCATGACATGGTGTGTTCCTTGCAAGTGCTTGGTCAATTGCGCTGCATGAGGAAACGTGAGGTCACACAAATGACAGGGAAAAGGAGCTGGGCTCAGCCACCTGTCAGGACTATCCATGGTGAGCATGTGATCTAAAATCATTCTAGGTCCTTGATACTCAACTGTGTGCAAAATGTCATCCAAACTGCAGCTGATGGCTCTGAGGTCTTGGCGTCGGATCAAGGCAAGGCATCTAATGTATGCCAATGGATGTTCAAGCTGGTGCGCAAGAAAGAACTCTTGATGACTCTGACCAGTGTTGTATGAATGATTGGCCAAAATCATGCGCTGCATCAATGTAAGTGTGGAGTTCAGCTTGATGAGCCCTGATTTCGTCACACCAACTATCAATGTCCCATAGGTCAATGTTGATTGAACAACTGCACGCCATATGGCCAACCTGTAGCGTGATGTCAGACCTCTTTTCCGGTGCAGCCAAAAAGTCAGGCGTTTGTATGCCATCTGACCAGCTGCCAATCGTCTTTGGAGCGTGTCTTGTTGAAGATTGCCGTAGGACAATTGAACTCCCAGATACCCACATTTGGAAGTCAGCCTGATCAAGGTCGTAGTGGACCGCCGGGGGATTGTCAGGAAATGTCCAGTGGCTGTCCTCTGCACGCATTGGCTTTGCAGCAGATTCTGATTTCGACCATGAATGGTGAGCACAGCCTCCGTCTTGGTTAAGTTGATTCTCATTCCAGCATCGTCCAACAGGTCCAGTAGTGCTCCCATTCGTCTCAAATGCTGTTGACATTCGTCCACGCTGGTGAATTGACCCTGTGCTAATATATCATCCGCAAACAGGGTAACGGCGTCGTACACCCATTCTTCACCCGTGATTCGAGCAAGGTTTTGGAGTTGCTGAACAGTAAAACAAGTCCACAAAAAGGGCGCAGCCACACATCCCTGTCGAATACCTAAGGAAACGGGAATGGAGGCAGTTTGGAATTTGTGGGTGATGTGATAGCATGTTCCCTCGTGCCAAGCTCGAAGAAGGGTGCATTGAGGTGAATGTACGCCGAGGTTCTCCAAACCAGAGAAGAGTTCTGCACGCGGCACGGTGTCAAAGGCCTGCTTAAGGTCTATGCTAAGCGTGACCCCTCCATAAACCTTGGGTGGTGACATGTCAACAACAAAACGTTTCTTCATGGAGATGACTTGGTTACAGTGTTGGACAGCTCTGGCAATGGCATCTTCACATCCTCTTCCCTGCATATATGCAAACTGAGGAAAAGGGGCAATCTTTGGCATGGCCTGCTGACGTGCTTGCATGCTAACAATGCTAAGTACCGCTTTGCCTAACCCCTCCTGCAAGGCCGGTGGCCTCAAGTTATTGGGCTTATCCGGCTTTTTTGAAGGTTTGGGCAGCAGAAACAACCAACCATCCCGCCACTCTTGAGGAATGTGAGGGGGAGTCATGTTCCACCACTTTTGCAACAATGGCATGAGGTGGCTTGCAATGACCTGAGCCGTGCTATTAAGGGAAAAACCCGGACTCTTGTGAGGGGCCATGGATTTCATGCCCTTCATCCTCCGTACTGCCTGAACTAAATCACTCTCACTGAAGGGAACACCTGGTGCCGGGGCGCAGCAGGGTTCCAGTGGCGTGCCATGCCAAGTTCCAGAAACATACTGACAAAGCATTTGAAAGGATTCAGTGGGTCCAAGAAGCTGGCCGGTATCGGATCTCAACTGGAGCTTTTCCGGTTTGGCCTTGGGAGTGAGTCTATTGATTGTGTGATATAGTTGGCTCATATCATTCTGTCTTGCAGCGGCCTCAGCAGAGTCAAGCAGGAACTGCAACCGTTCAGCCTTCCGATGTCGCAAGGCCTCCGCATGCCGTTGGTTCCATTGATGGTGCAGGTGAGTCAATTTCCATGCCTCAAAACACTGCCTTAATCCTCTTCCGGAGAGGGCCTGAATGGAGCGTCGAATGGCCCACTTGGTTGTGACCGTCTGTTCACTAGGGTTGGATGGAACAGAAACAGCCGGAGAAAAATGAGCCTTGAAGATACTGGTGAGGCCACGATGAATGTGCATTACAAGGCCATGTGGTTTCCTCCAAAAAGGCGTTTGAGGCTATGCAAAAATCACGCCAAACTGATGTGTGGAGTCGACGGGCTTGTCGACACAGCTCCTTGGCGGCATACCCAACAGTCGAGAGAGTACAGCCCTGAGCAGTCGTCCACCTGAGCGGGATACTGCCGATCACAGGAAAATGTCCTTGTGTGGTGAGTGGCAATGGTGGCCAGGTCCTAAGGGGGGTACTTTGTCGAGCAAGCGAATCAGCCTGGCGGGATTTCGTGCGTATGAAATCAATCCTGGATCCATGGTTGAGGGAGGAGAAAAACGTAGCAGCTGATGGACTCTGCCATGTATTGAGTGCAACAATACCGTGATGCTGCATGAGGGCCTGCAGTTCTCCCGAATCAGCATGGGGTGTGCCCAAGTGATAGCTTCCGTCAGGATTGTGGAAGCCCGCAGTGCCTACAGTGAGTCGGTCAGCATTCATGCTAGTGTTAAAGTCGCCAGCCAGGATTAATTGATTACGACTAGGGAAGGAACTAAGGGTGGAACCCAAAAGTTGAAACCATTGTTTCCGAGCTGCGCGAGTGATTTGAGTGGCATGATATGCATGTTGGTAGGCACATACGACATCCAGGGAGCGTTCCTGAAGAAACAGTCGGATGTGCAGGAGTCTGCCTGCCTGGACCTCTGTCCAGCCTATATTATCACTATGGCACATGGTCGAACGAATGCATGTGACGATGCCGCATGAACGGTATGGTTGACCTGATGAGGATATACAGGTCCAACCCTGTTGAGCCCAGGTTCGAGAGCCTTGCCACCGGGTTTCGGTGAGTACCACAATGTGGATCCGCTGGGGGTTGGCCCACTGGAGGACTTCTTGGAGAGCAGCATTGGTCAGGCCGCTGCAGTTCCAAGTCAAGATACCACATCTGCTCCTAAGCCGGCGGGGTTCGACCGTCTGCCAGTGATTCACTGGCATCGAGCGCGACTCTGACTTGGGTCGTGATGCAGGCTTGGGGTGGATAAGGCATTGCTTACATCCTAACGATTGCGGAGTGACCAGACGTCCGCGATACCAGGTGTAACCCCACTGGATGGCTCTCTTTTGGGCTCGTCGAAGGCTTCTCTTTTTATTGCTAGACCCCTTATCGATCAGGAAATTGGCAGATGTCGGGTCATGTATGTTCGTGGCTCGACTTGCAACATGTCTTTGAACATAGGTCAAAGCCACTTCAGTGGATCCCATGACAGACCCACAACCCTCGCTTCTGTTGGACACGAAGGAAAACAAGAAGGTGCTGTATATGTCCAACCGGCGGACTTGGGACCACCGACCACCAAGAAGCACAAGATACCAGAACACGATGAGCAGGCGCGGCATCAGCCGCAGGCAAATCGACTGGTCGTGGTCGATCACAACGCGGCAGCGCATCCGCCCATGACGAGCGAGGAAGCACAGCCCGCGATGGGCAATCCTTGGTGCCCTTGAGTGGTAGAAGCTTACGGTATCGCTTTTTAAATATACGATTTTTAAAACAGGTAAACAGGTATTTTAGACTACCTCCGGCAAGGTTTTTGCCAGCCCGGCCCGACCCTTTAAACATCCGGCATGAATATACGGTACGATTTAAATATACGGTCAGCTTACATATGTGCGGCGGCATTTATTTGGTACTGAGCTCAAACGCGCAATCTATTATGTGGAGGCCCTATCTCGTTTCGACTACTTAAGTAGAAGGTCATGTAATGTTAGAGTATCTCGCTCAGACTACTTTAGTCTTGGTAGTCCCGGTGGTCTTGGTGGTGATTGTGGCAATCTACTCTTGGTGGTCTTGGGGGCTGGTGGCCTTGGTGGTCTTGGGGGTCTCCGTGGTCTTGGTAGTCTTGGTGGTGATTGTGGCGGTCTAGGCGGTGTTGGTGGTGGTCGGTGGCCTGGGTGGTCTGGTCTTGGTGTCTTGGTGGTCAGCGGTCTTGGTGGTCCAGGGGGTCTTGGTGGTGATTGTGGCAGTCTACTCTTGGTGGTCTTGGGGGCGCTGGTGGCCTTGGTGGTCTTGGTGGTCCGGTCTTGGTGGTCTCTGTGGTCTTGGTGGTGATTGCGGCGGTCTAGGCGGTGTTGGTGGTGCTCGGTGGCCTTGGTGTCCTGAGGCAGTCTACTCTTGGTGGTCTTGGTGGTCTTGGTGGTCCGGTCTTGGTGGTCTCCGAGGTCTTGGTAGTCTTGGTGGTGATTCTGGCGGTCTAGGCGGTGTTGGTGGTGCTCGGTGGCCTTGGTGGTCCGGTCTTGGTTCTGTAGGTGCCAAAAACTGCCTCGTTACAACATGGCCTCTCTGTAAGGGCCTCAATCCCTTTTCGTAAAAGAAATGTCAACAGGGATTACATTTTAAATATACGGGGGGAACAATAATTTTATACTACCTCCGGGGCCGATTGCTCTGGCCCGGCCAGACCCTTTAAATATACGGTGGGAACAGGTATTTTATACTACCTCCGGAGCCGATTGCTCTGGCCAGGCCACCATATATTTAAAAAGCGTTACCGTAACAACAACAACAACAACAAGAACACTACCACGACTGCAACAAGCCCTTTGCTTGGGCCCCTGGCCGGCTGTCGGGCGTAAGCCCTTAAATCGACACCGCTTGGATGAGGGCCTCTTGGGCTCTCCTAGTTTGTTCGTGTTTGGTCCATTTCTGGGACCCCTTCATCTTGTTTCGGAATGATGGATTGTGATTAAATTTCTCAGGCTATTTTGGAGATGTTGTTTCCCTAAGGTGTGATGTAGCTTGCCTGAAAAAACACCAGCCAGACACCACAGTCCAAGGTCCCAACTCCATGTGCATAGGTCACGCTTGAAACTCGCGGCGCCTGGGCGATGTTTGAACAAAATAGAAGAGCTAAAATTCCTGCAACAGGTTGTTTAGAGTCATAGTCTATGCTGGGCCTGAACATCTGGCATTCTCCGAAATCCTGCTGACTGTTGAAAGCCTTTCCAGAGCTGCAAACGGAATCAAACCAAGACCTTTTTGCAGGACATTCACATCATATGCCCAGCCGGAGGGCTTCAAAGCAAGGGGAAGGGGCATTGCTATGCACAAAGTTCATCTCTCCAAATCTCACTTCTTCAGCTTCTGACCACCGCGGAGCAGACCTGTGCGCCTTGCTGCAATGAGACCCACCTTCTGTCCAGGCACAGCTGAGCGTGCGACAGTGGTTGGGTGGCCCACGTGCTGGTGATTTCCTCCTCCGTGAGGGTGCTCCACAGGGTTCATGGCAGAACCACGCACCTTTGGCCAGCTGTTTCGCTTCACGCGGAACTTGTGGTGGTTGTTGCCAGCCTTCAGCACTGGCTTGTCCATGCGTCCGCCACCAGCCACAATGCCAACGATGGCACGGCATGTGGAAGGCAAGCTCTTGCGGCTGCCAGACGGCAA